CCTGTATATAAGAGAAAGTAGCACAAAGATGGAAAACATGACTGCAGACAGGATAATTTAGCCCTCTGTCTCTTTTACTATGCTGCTGTGAAACTTTGCAGCCTGATTTGTGATCTAAGATGATGTAAACAAGAGCTGCCCTGAAAAAGAAATCCAAAAACCTGTAGTTACTCACACCTGTTCAACTGCTCATTAATGCAACCAGCCATTGTCAAGAAGACCTGCTGAAGTTCAAACCGCACTTCAGAATGAAGAAGAAAGGTCATTTGGAATTTGACTTTGGCATGAATGTTGCCATTTCAGAAACTTCTGATCTACTGGGGTTTCCCCACACATGACCACCTCCAGGATTTACAGAGAATGGTCCAAAAAAGAAACAAAAATATCCACAGATATCCAAGTCGTGCCGACAGGAAGGCAACAGTAACAGAACTTGTACTAGCAAGCTAATGCTAATAAAGTGTCCGTGAGTATATACCTTTCAGAATTAATGCTACCTTAATTGTGTACTAGTTAAACATGTTTTTAAGTCACATTCACACTCGTGTAGAGCATCCTGTGTTTTTTGGGAAATGTATTCTGTGATATTTGCCATATTTTTAAACTCAGATTAAAGGTAGAAACAGAATAAAATGCAGAAAATGACCACAAACCAGTACAAAAGTACAGTGAAAAGATGTACTTTTTTTAAAGAGTATTGTTAAAACACTGCTAGGTCATGCTGTTCGTTTACACATGGCAACCTTATAATGGGGATAAAGCTTCTCAATAACGCTGACATGGTGGCAAAATCTCCTCCATCTCAGCATGAGCAGATATCTGATCTGAGCCAAGTGATAAGATCTGTCTGTGAAGAACTGAGAGGAAAAAATACAAAAAGGAAACTGGTTTAAGTTTAAAAACTTTTCAAAAAAAATTCAAAAAATAATCTGTTTCTGCTTCTTGTTTCAGGCATAAGTTTTCTGTCTCTGTCCTGACCTGGTGCAGCAGAAGAGGCAGACTGTCAGGAGTGTACTCCAAACTCAAGCAGCTCTCATGATATCAGCCTGAGACCGAGTCGGCAAAATGTCAGCCACCTGAAACCAGCAGAAAACAAACTACACCTAAAAAAAAAAATTAACCCTAAAAATAATGCCTTCACTTAAAATTGGATATAAATCAAAGATTTAAAAGCCTAACAATGCAAGACTAATAGTGAACTTTCTGTAGAAAGCATCACCTGAAGCCCTCTCCTCAGTGAATGCTCCCTCTCCACACAAAAGAAGGAAATCTCTTTAGGAGGTAGTACAGAACTGGAACAAAAACTTTTACAAACATCATGGGTTTAAAATGTAAATGCCCACAAATCAGTCACAGCTCAGATCTGTCACATTTTACCTAAAGTGACTACTATTCTGCTACACTACTTAGGCTAAAAAAAAAAAAAACAAGAAATGGATAAATATACAGAGAACATAACACTAACAAAGTTCAGCTGCCTGTTAATGTGAATTTATCACTACTGATAATACTTTGTGTTGCATACTTTACAAGCCTTATATGTATCTTAAACTTGGATTTAAGGTGGAAAACCGAAAGGTGGCCTGCTTCAGAAGAGAAATCTGAAATGATGTGCAGGGTTATTTGAGCACACAAGTACATCGGTGTGCATTGTGAAGGGCATTCATGTTAAATAACAACCGGCCATACTTTGAGTTGATAGCTTTTCAGGTCTACCCTTTTGGCAATCTGAGCTTAATACATCACAAACCTGTAGGCATTAGAAGATCCTGTTCCTCTATTCTCTTCAATCTCTGCCTTGAGTGCAGAGAGGTGACTCCACAGCTCTGCCTCCAGCTGCTTCACCTTCACAGAGGAGGAAACTTTGTACACTGCACACATGTCTGACATCTTCAATGATCAACACATTCAAATGACATAAAAATAACTCCTTTAGTCCTGCTAAATCTCTGCCTCAACGCTGACTTGTTGTGGTGTGTCCATAGAGACAAACATCCATGGGCATCTGGACTCAGTGACTCCATTCAGGCTCTAGAGGGCTCCATCGTTTCACTGCAATCAACCAGTCTTTGGGCTGTCATGTCAGTGATGTCAGACTCTTCAGTCACAATGTAATTTTTTTGTTTTGTCCTCTAGTTTGTAATAAAAGTCTCTCAAATACAAGTCATTGCATCACTGTACTATTACATCTTTGAGGAGCACCTGAATTCACCAATTACAGCTCCTTGCCTTCAAAACCCTGATTTAGGCACAAATGGTCTATTCTTCTTGGATACAGCGTGTGATTGGTTCTTCAATGATATGATTATCCAATAGCAAATCACATCCACAGCTATGGAATTCCTCTAGGGACAGATTTAAAAAAACAAAACAAAAGACAACATCAAACTCCAGTTTTTCAGTAGTTCTTTATGCTTTATTTACATGCACCAGCTCTGATAAAACCAAGTGTTTGCTTTACAAGTGGAAATGTCAACTTCATGTTTTTTGTTTTTGTAGGAGCAATAGGAATATATGAAATGTGGAGAGTGGCAGTGAAATTTAAACCTTAAAGCAGACCGTAAAAAAACAAAAAAAACAACAACAAATCAGTCAACTAAAAAAAAATTTAAAAAAAATTAAAAAAAAGTGGAAGCACAGCTGTGCAGAAATGTGTTAAAAGGTTAAGCCAATGAGAATTATTTAATCTGGTTAACTCACTGTTAAACATTTCTCAAAAGGACCCTTTCATTTGTTGTGCAAGTGATCACCCAGTGAACAGAGCAATGAAAACATGATTTTACACAGCCCCAACCAAATATGCATCAAGGAACAATGGCAACAAGTATCGCAATAAATAAACCAAGTGTTTTTACAATGATCCAACATGAGACAAATTTAATAAAACACTCCTGATAATTTAAAAATAATTAAAAATGTAAAAAATTTTAGAAAGCATCCTGCTGTTCCTACAAAATTGTGCTGATGTAGATTACACACACACACACACACACACACCTGATTAGCTATGCACTGTGTAGCCTCCTTCCACTTATTTAAATGCGGATAAACTTTGGCAATATTTAAGATACTGTGGTCATTTCTTTCATTACAAAGAGGGAAAAAAAAAACAAACAAAAACCCTCCAAGATACTACACACCCTCCCAGTGTTGAAAACATGTCACCCAGCACCTGCTGTAGTGCTGATAACAAAGGAGAGGCTACTGACGGAACTTCATCTGCAGCCACTCCTTGCTATCTTTAGATTTAGAGCACCAAGAACTCCATCAAATCAACGCCAAAACTTGTGTAGTTGTTGAGCGCTGCGAGTCACTGAATGTAGTTATTTCAACCCAAGTGTTTGACAACTAAAAAGTGGTAACTAGAACTAAATCGTGTCCTTAACTCAATCCTAAGGTCTGTATTCAGAGCAGTACTTCCAATATTGCAGTGAGTGGAAGAGGAGGGACCTAAAAAGGGATCTGCAGCAGAAACATCATCAATACTTCAGTAATGGACCTCTTCAGAGGGAACAGAATTCACAGTAATGTCACTTAAAAATCACAGGGTAAAATTTGCTACAAAAAATAAAAATTGAAAAATCACTGCGTACAAAAGAAAGAAAAAAAAATAACCACATCATGTAGAGCAGTTCACATCTTGATAACATTACATACTGATATTTGGTGTGAATTGGTGCATCAATGGGGAGGGAAAGCTTTTAAAAACGGTTTGTCCATTTAGGCTACGTCTCAACGAAATCTTTAAAACAAAGAAAAAAAAAATAAGCAGCTTGTCAAGTATCCTCCACTGGAACGTAGTAATGTAACATTCTCTGCAGTTTTTGTAAACAGGCCATCAGTCAGGCTGACAGCTGGTTTGGCAAAAAAATGTTTTGGGTATGAAAGAGGAGAGAAAGCAGGATGAAAACACTTCATTTTCAGTTTTATGTATTACTTTGTGATATGAGTGAATCCCTGAGACTAATGAGTTGATCCATGTAGTTTTAACTGAAGGTACTGTAGTTTCATTTCACTCAGTACCATTTGTTCATACTGGCCAGGCATTGATCTTTTGAAACAATTATTTTTTTCCTTCACTGTGAAGACACTGTTGTTTTGTCTCAGACACCTACAATACAGTACTGAAGTTAATGCCGCAAATGAAAAATAGGAAGAAAGTCTACTGAAACGCTTACATACCTTCCTTCCCTCTAGTTGCACAACGCAGGACAATTAACCCAAATTTACACCTTCCTTACTTCTGACAGCTCCTCAGCTCGGCACCCAGCTCTGAGGGCTCTGTTTCGAGCTGGAGAAGCTTCCTGAATTCTTGTTGCCATTCTGTGTGGAGGTGAGGCGAGAGTCAAAGCTGAGGTCCAGGCAATCTGCGTCCATCAGTTCATTGCGAATGATTGAGTCCATGTCGCAGTCCAGATTGCTGCTGAACACCTCAAGGTCCAGATCAGCGGAGAAACTGTCCTGACTGGTTAAACTGGAACTGAGCTGCATAGAGGCGTTCTTACTAGGAGACTTCAGGTGTAGCTGCTTTGTTTCAGGGAGGCCGTCGTCACTGTCAGAGGTTGACAAGCCCGCTTGCCAACCAGGCACTGAAGAGCTTTGGGCCTGGCCTGCACTGGTGTGGTTAACCAGAATGTGGTCTTTGCGGAGCAGCATGGCATTTCGGCGGGAGTTCTGCAGAGCGATGGCGTGGCTGGCCTGCGACATCAGAGGGTCGGACTGGGTCATCATGACATTGCTGGGGCTGTGGGAGTCCATCCCAAGCAGATCTAGGGCCTGGTGCTCACTGTAGTGAGACATGCAGGAGAAAGTGGTCTGCTTGTTCTCTTGGATGGTCTGCATGGGTGACTGTCGCAGGCTCGTGATGGACGGAGGGCTGAAGAGTGGGTTTGTCCCATAGCTGCTAGAGGGACTACCTAAACTGCTTCCTGAGCAGCTGAAGGTAAATACTGAACTCCCCTGACTGTTGGCCCCATCTTCCTCTCCAGGAGGAGGCTGCTGGGTTGCTGTGAGGCTGATATTGTCTAAAAGATCATCCATCAGGTTGTCAGAGAGCCCATCATTGAGGTTCATAGTGCCTGCCAGATCAGACAGTCCTGTTGGTCCAGTGGACGGAGACATGCTGCTGGGGCTGGAGTACAGCATTGGCGACAGGGGTGAGTCGTCATCAGGTACCTCATCCAGCTCCAGGTTAGCCAGGATAGGGGACAGACGACCGCTGAGCGTGCTGGCGTTTGAATTGGTCCGAGAGCGGAAGTCTGTCCAGGCATCGAGCTCGTCGCTGCTGCGTGAGGTGGGACTTCCTGTCCATTTGGAGAGGCTCGATGAGCTCTCAGAGCTCCCATCTTGAGCAGCCTGCAATGAGGCTTTTTTCTTTGTGGCACGTCCTCTGGCTCCTTTGATGTACTTGCTGTTGTCCATCGACACAGCCCTACGTCTGGGAGCTTTACCTCCTTTCCCACCTTCTGGGTTGACCATCCACCAGGAGCTTTTCCCAGTTCCTTCATTCTGGACTTTCACAAAACGGCTATGGAGGGAAAGATTGTGTCGGATGGAATTCTGCAAAGACAAATGATTAAGAAAACTTAAGTATTAATATAACTTTCCCAGTATGAGCAATAATTCATAAAAAAAAATCTTGTGTACATGATACAATTAAGTATTAAATACTTTTAGGAGCTTCAAAAGCTTTAACGAGATGTGGCCTACAAAGTGGACCAAGCCAGAATGTGCGTTCCTGCTGCATCTGTTAGTGTTGTTCTCAAACTTCACTCAAGCTTAAAACTACAAAAGATTACAACATGTATTACAGTAATTGCCAAGCTCTATAACAGCCCAACAAGGGAACAATGAGCCAGATAATATAAATCACTACAACAGAATATAAAACTCAGTGTTGTAAGCAGACAGTGCTGTATTCTGTGTCCCCTACAAAACTTCTTAAGATTTTTGTTCATCTACAGTACTATGTTTTTGGCATGGTGTGCAGTGTTCCTAAAATTTAAGAAAACTGGACAAATTGATGACAAAATAAAAAAAATAATAAAACCACAGGACTGAAATTATCTGAATTTTGTGTTCTAAATAGAGACACTGCTGACTTTTCAGACTATTACAAAAGACTAAAGGTCAGTGGCCAAAGGTATTATGTAGCTTGAAAGTTATGGTTCAAGTTGCTGTCAATATGTACAGTTGAGTGGTACAAGAGTGACTGTCTATAGCCATCTAGAAAACATGGTGGAGGCTCTGTCATGTTCTGGGCTGTGTTTTAGCTAGAGGTGTTGAAATCTTGCCAAATTGATGGAATCATGAATGCAAACAAGTGCAGTTTGACATCACCGTGCAATACAATCTGGAAGGTGCGATTAGCAGTAGTGTTTTTGGGACAATCCCAAATAGACTTCCAATGCAGTAAAAACAACTGATAAAACCCCAACAGGGGAACACCATCGGTCATGGATTGGCCTCCCCAGTGCCCAGACCTCAACATTACTGAGGCGGTGTGGGATCATCTTGACAGATAACTGAGCAAAAAGGCAGCAAACATCCAAAGAACTTCAGTCTCCTTCAAGAAGCCTTGAGACACATTCCCAAAGACTACCGAAATTCAAATTAAAGAAATGAGTGACTCAAGGATATTGCACAGGGTTAACTGTAATTTAACCCTTTAAGGCCAAGTGTATCAAAGATGATACTTTTATATCAGTTTAAATATTCTGCAAAAAAATAAAGGAAAACAAAAGCCTGATGTAGCTAATATGATACAAATTTAAACTTGTATGCAAATTAATAATTGTTATTGCAAGACTCACTAAACAATCCATTAATAATAATTTTAAAAAAGTTTTCGGGCTTTTATTTCATGGTTCAGGCTTTAAAGGGTTAATACA